ATACCATCATATCCTGCAGTTTCAAATATTATATAGTTTGACACATTCATCACTTCTATAAATATTTGATTCTGAATATTGAAGCTGACAATCTATAATAAAATTGATATTGAAATAATATATCTCGCACGAACAATATGATTTAAGAAATGTTTAATCTACGATTATAGTCGTAACTGAATTGGATTATTAGTTTAATAATGACTTACATCATTGTATCAACAGATAGAAATCCATCTATAGAGGCACTATTGGAATAATTCACATAAAAAGAAAGTTCCATTTTTTATATATGTGTCGGATTGTGTATTATCATATTTTATGTGTATAACTGTAAAGCGTATCACAAATTAGCTATAATAAATATACAATATAAATTAAAATATTGATAGGCCATAAGGAGCCAAACGCGGATGTAAGGCGTGTTGTTTTTAAATCATTATCCAAGAGAACGATCAAATTAAACGGTCATCTTTAATACCAAACGTTTCGGACTCAATTCGAGCCTTCTTCAGTGATTCTGAACAAAACAAAAAAGAACCACATGAGATATATACATTAAAACGCAGTCAATCATAATAAAATACGGAAAAAACATAGTCATCATACGTGCATGATCGTTGAGAGAAAACGCGAGCTCATCAAGGCAAGTCAACTCGAAGGAAGCCAGACATACATGGTTCTTTAAACGGTGCAAGGCGCAAAAAGCAAAGCACTAAACAAATAAATATAATATGAAAACGTCGTAAAAAAATAGTCAAAAATATGCAACTATAGCTCACTCGGTATCGAGAAGACGTGACAAAGACGAACACGAACACTTTGCGCGCACATAGCCGATTAGACAACAGATTTAACTGCCAACGGTGAAAAGGCAGTTACGCGTAATCAATAATAACAATACCGCATGTACAGAGGACGAAAGCAATCAACGTACAACAATCGCAATCAAATCTTCGATATATTATCGATTATCGATAGACAAGAAGCATTCAGCTTTAAGGTGTCGTTCTGGAGATTTAATGCATTTCTTTGACGTTTAATATGGATCATCTCCGATATCAATCTCCTCCCCAGAAATGCCTCCTCATCCAAAATCTCAACGCCATCAAAATCGAGCGTGTGATCCAGAGCTCTGTGTTCGGCAATGACAGACGTGAGGTTCTTTTTATGTTCCTTGAGCCTGGTCTTCAACAAACGTCCCGTTTGTCCCACATAGGAAGCGTTGCAATCCATGCAGTTGATCTTATAGACTATGTTGTTGCGAGAGTCCTTATCTAACCTGTCTTTGCCAACTTTAATGAAACGGCGCAAATTATTTATTCCAGTGTAGAAAAGTTTCACCTCTAGATCTCTAACGCATTGTCGGAAACGGTCGGAAAAGTTCTTAACGTACGGAACATTGAAATATGAGATCCTCCCCCCTCCATCAACACCGTCAACCTCATTGTTATCTGCAGTCAAAGTATTATCCAATCTATTGTTGAATCTATGCAATAAAATATTAAGTCGGTCAACAATTGTGTTGAAAATAAAAGGGAGAGGATACCCATTATTCAAGAGAATGTCAATAATGAATTCGAAATTCTCCTTATGAAATCTCGGATGAGAAAGCCGAAAAACTTTATCGGTTAGACCGATTATCGTGCCCCTCTTTTGGCAAAGGGGGTGTCGCGACTCAAAGTGGAGGTATTTCCCCGAAAAAGTCGGTTTATGAAACCAGTTGAAATAAATAAGTCCATGCTCTAAAATAATGGTGACGTCAAGGAAATTCAGGCGATTGTCGACACCCTCCTCCATGGTGAACTGCATCCTTGTGTGGAACGAGTTGAACGTGTTCAGAATGGTGTTAAGCATTGAGGAGGGAGCCGCCAACACAACGTCGTCAACATATCTAAAGTAGAATGGGAGATCCACTGGTAGAGTCGCGATGGCCTTCGACTCTAAATCTTGGAGCGTGATCTCAGCGATAATCGGCGAAAGAGGAGAGCCCATGGGTGTGCCAAATGTTTGTTGATAGCAGACGCCGTTGAACATAAAAAATGTAGAGTTCAAGACGAAGCGAACTGCTGTTAAAAACTCATCACGAGGTATCTGACAATTGCCTCCTATATAGTCCCATCTATTCGACAGGCTATCAATCGCCAGATCCAACGGTATATTCGTGAATAATGAGATGACATCTAACGAGATCAATTTTATATTGTCATCAATACGTCTGCCATTCAGTCTATCCACCACTTGAGCGCTGTTAATAACTTGGCTGTCCGGTCGCGGAACAGACTTGTAAATAATATCGTGTAAAAACTTGGCGAGACCATAGAGTGGTGTGTTCTTAGATGAGACTATAACACGTAAAGGGTTGTTTTTCTTATGAATTTTTGGCAGCCCATAAGCCCTCGGTAAGACACCATCTGTACAATTCAAAGATCTATATTTCGCAACGGAGATGTAATCGCGCGATCTCCACCTCACTAAGAGATCATGAAGATTGTTAGTTAATTTTTTAATCGGACTCTTGTTCAATACTTTATACGTATTTTCGTCCGCTAGCAGAACTGACATGTTGGAGAGATAGTCGTCCTTATTCAACGCGACTGTTATATTACCCTTATCTGCTCTAGTGAACAGAATGTCCGGATTGTCTCTTGTGAATTTTTTGGTGGCGTTAAGTGACTTTAGAAGTTTCTTTTTTGTTTTGTTCAGAATCACTGAAGAAGGCTCGAATTGAGTCCGAAACGTTTGGTATTAAAGATGACCGTTTAATTTAATCGTTCTCTTGGATAATGATTTAAAAACAACACGCCTTACATCCGCGTTTGGCTCCTTATGGCCTATCAATATTTTAATTTATTTTGTTAATTTCGAGAGCCTTTAATTTTGTTTATATTTTTTATTTTTAAATATACAATATTTATAATTATATAATTTATAAATTATTATATTGATGTATGTATTTTTATATGTATTTAAATATGTTTGTCGAATTAACTCTTGAATCTTTGTTCGCCAAAGCTTATTTGTATCTTCAGAGAATGAATGTGATAAATTGTATAAATTAATTTATGCATACAAATTTCAAAGTTTGCCTTTGTAATATTTATACTATAATTTTAAGTATTAAACTTGTGTCCGTTTTGTTCAACTTTTTAAACATTTCAAGACCTATACTTAAAAAATATAATCGTGGTTAAAAATATATGTACATACAATATTATTTATTTATTATTTTATTATATTGTGCCTGCATGTGTAAATGTGTGTGTGTGTGTGTGTGTGTGTGTCTGTGTGCGTGCGCACACGTATGTGCATACATATTATATTTAATAAGATTGCTTAAGGATTAAAGAATCTTAATTATATAAAATAAATGATATAAAGTAATTAATATTAATTTAAATAAATTATTCATATAAATAAAATAAAATATTTAAATAATATAGGTATTATAGCGTATGTATAGGTATTATTATATATATATATATATATATATATATATATATATTTATTTATTTATTTATTTATTTCTTCTTAAGTGTTGCAAAAATATTTTAGGCTTTTTGACATATTTTTTTATCAAAGAATATGTCTACCTATTTAAGTGACACGAAATAATTAACACTGCATGTATAATATTATTTATTTAATATTTTATTATATTTTATTATGTATTTTATTATTATAAAATAAAAAATTTTCTATGTATTTTCATAAATGTTTATTTTGATTTGGAACACAGCTGAGCGATTTTTTGAAAAAAAAAATTTAATTTATTCTACATTTTTTTAATTTACTCAAATAAAAATTGTACACTTATTTTCCTTTTTGATTGTTTTTGTCTACATACACATATCTTTTATGTATACGTAAAATTTCTTTTAACCAAAGAAATTTTTTTCCTATTTGTATTGGAGCATTAATTGTATTTGCACCAGCCGCATATTTAATTTCAGAAAACGGATGCGAGAAAAAAATTACGATTTCTATAATAATTCTGATAGTTACCATGCCAATATATAGTACAATAAGATATGCTGATCTATGGAATTGATCGGTCATTATAAAGAGCGCCGCGGCTATTACAAAAAGGCGAAACATTAAAAAATATTAAATATTAAATAATTTATGTATCTGTAATGTATTAATTAATTTATGTATCTGTAGTGTATTTCAATATCATAAAATCGCAAAATTTGCGAAGAACGATCTATTATTTTCTTAATTTCACAATTAATATTCTCAGTCCGAGATTGAACAAACTCCAAAAATATATATTATCTACATTTTTATAATGTAGAATGTATATCACGAGAAACAAAAAAAGAGATAATATGAATATCTTTGAGATGCTTTGTTATTTTATTACAGTAATTAATATACATTTTTTTAAACACTTTAATATGTTAATATCGTAATTATTAAGAAATATGATTACTTTATCACAAAATACATTATTAAGAAGATAATTAAACACATTATGAGAAAACATTATAAGAAAAAAAATCGCTTATAAGCTATTAATGGTAAAATTTAAATAATGTTATATTGTTTTATCTATTATACAATATTGTTATCAAAATTAGAGATTATTATATAACAATTCTTATGAATTATTATTATTATTATCGTCATTATTGAATTAAAAGCTTAATAAATAAAATATCATTGTATTGTGTAAATGAAAGGATTATTTTATTTTAACAGATTTATTTATATTTGGACATTACAATAGATACATACATACATAAAATTCTTTATAGAAGGTATATATGTTTTAATTTTTGAATGTATCACAAATATCCTTTTTAGCAAAGAGTACACCGCATAATATAATTAAAAATGATCAAATAAGCAATCAAAAGTAATTTTAATTATTTGCGGTCTTTTTTTTGAGGTCATTTATATATATATATATATATATATATATATATATATATATATATAAAACATCTAGTCGTTTTCAAAACAATCGGCTTTTATTTCGACAAAGCAAATCCCACTCGATTATTTCCCATATCATACACGCTGTAGTATTTACGCAAAAATACATCGCCAAGAATCCATAACTCAGATCCACTTGATTCAAAGCCGCTGGAACATGTCTCATAGCCATTCTCTACATTCTGTAAAAAGTTAAACACAATGTGAACACTTTATATTCTCATATAATTTAAATGGAAATTACCGATCCATAATACTCACTCGAAGAATATAATCGTCAGAGCTAAGATCGTGTATCACACCACCCAGAACAATACTAATTGTAGGCAATTGGTCAACACTACCACAATCCACCTTTGAATAGAGGATAATATTAAATTATTAGTTAATAATTTAACAAATACACACACACACACACACACAACCACACACACACACACACACATATATATATATATATACTATAGTGTGTATATATATATATATATATATATATATATATATATATATATAATAATAATATTCAGTATTTTATGATTTTTTTACTGAATATCAATGTGAAAAATTGTTACTTACAGATCCATCACTTTTAGCTTGAATAAATTCGTTAATAATATCAATGTCACTATTTGGTCCAACTATTAATGAGGTACCTGTGTCAGCAATAGCTTGTTTATTTTCAGTCACGACGTAATCAGACATTTCGATTCTAGAGCACAATAACGTTTTAATAATTTGTTGAAATTTATTCAACGTAATTTAGAAAATATACCTATCCATAGTAAATTGCCAGTATCCTTCCTCAGTAACAGGAACGTATGTAAAGTCACCATCGTAATGATTGGGATCAGAACCACCCAATATCAGTTCACCACCTTCCATAGCTGAAGGGTCTCTGTATATTTTGTAGATTATAAAATATATTTTTTTAAAACATTTTTAGACATGCACTATGCGTATGGAAAGTTGATACAAACCGACTCAAATAGAAGCTAAAAATAGGTTGTTCTACTAAGTGTTGTTTAAACATGTTTACGAAGACAGGCGTCACTCCATCCACGGATATCTCGGGATAACCCATGCCCAAGATACCGTCAAACTCTGAATAAACAAACGTATCACCTGGCTGCTCGACGGCTTCTGCGAATCCTTGATCTTTAACAGGGAGGCCGGCAATCTATAGTTAATAAATCATAACGTTCAAATGTAAAAAAAAATACTTGAGAAATATTTATAAACTATGATTGTAGTTGTAACTTGAATTGTTTCATGATGACTTACAGTCACTATATCAGAAGATAAGAATCCAGTTAGACTGCCAGTGCCATACTGGATAGCAAATGGAGTATTAATTGGTTTATATGTACTGGATTTGCTACTGTAATATTTATGATGGTCCACTGCAAAAAATAATATCACAAGATAAGGATAATTTTAAAGATAAAGAGATTTTCTTATTCATCTAAATATTCGTTTAAATTATCAAACATAAATGCATTTATCACTTTTGAGTTTCCCGGAACTCGTTTGTACGGTACTCGTTGAAAGAATAAAAATAACAAATTATTATAATTGTAAATAAGTCTGTTCATGTGCAAATTATAAAATTTTGGTTTTATTATATTTACAGGATCAATTATTTTAATTTTTAAAATTGTATTTGTGCATTTCCTTTATCCAAAAAATAATATTTGAAAAATATAATCCAGGAAGAGATAGAGAATTTTATAATATTTATAATATTATAACGTGTTTACTTTTTGATTTGATATTATAATATATTCGAAAAGATTAAGATCTTCTTCAATGTTTTTAAACAATAATTTATATTATTAAATATAAGTGAATGTGTAAATAATAAAATATCTAATAAATATTATCTACTGAATATAAATATTAACAATATTCATATATTGTGTCTTAATTAATTTGCATTCATTAAGTACATAATGATATTTCTTGATGAAAAATGTCGAAAAACTTATAATCATTTTTCTTCTTAATGTAAAAAAGAATATAATATAGAATTGTTCTTATTCGCATTGTGTTAAATAAATATATGTTCGTGATCTGTGCATTTCAATCAATATTGTGATGTAAGTTTATATAAGTATAAATTAATTATTATTCTATATATATATATATATATATATATATATATATATATATATATTAAAATACTTACAGCAAGCCTCATCGTTACTTGCGCATTTTGCCGATGGTACCCAAAGATTTGAGGAACCAGTATCAAATAATACTGAAAATGACTGCGGAGGAGTTCCGATGGTAATGTTACCATAATATTGAGCATCATAATAATTAACCAAAGGTTCTGATCCTTGTCCGGCAAAAACGGTTTTTTTCAAGTCAATACCAGCTTTTTTCAAATTTTTTCGAATTGAATTCATCTTGTACAACGTAATCCTTAAAGTAATACAAAGATCATTTTTTTGTAATATGCATATAATCTTACATATATGTATATATATATATATATATATATATATATATATATATAATTAAAGCTTGTATAATAATTTTGATTTTTAACGATGGAATATATAGTCATTTAACTTATATTTATTTAAAATGTCTATTCTTTATATATCACTAAACTATATAACAGTATATATATATATATATATATATATATATATAATGTAAGTTTACTGATATATATATATATATATATATATATATATATAAAGTTAATAAAAAAAATAAAAAAATTATTTAATAAAAAAATATATAGTTAATTTATTTATTCAATATTAATTTATTTAATAAAAAAATATATAGTTTACTGATATATATATATATATATATATATATATATTTATACATATATATAAAGAATAGACATTTTAAATAAATATAAGCTAAATGACTATATGTTCAATTGTTAAAAATCAAAATTATTATACAAAATTATATTGACTATTGAATATACTTTAATTATATTGACATATTTTTTTAAATTGTAAGATTTACATTACATATATATTTGAATTATTATTTAATTCATAGTTTAATCTCTTAAATTAAGCATCATAATTTAACAACCTCTGATTTTTAATTAAAAATAATATTGGAATGTGTAGCGTGCAATCTTATAAAGAAACTCAAAATAAGACTTATTTATGTTAGAAATATATAGATATATATAGAAAGAGCATAAATTAAATAAATGAATAAGAAAAAATAATTCACAGAAATAATATATACAGTTCATCTGCTTATACAATCAGTTTATCATTAGAACGATAAAGATATCGCGATAAAGCAGACAAAAGCATGAGCTTAGCAAATTTACAAAGAGTGATTTTTTTTTCAAAAATGCTTACTTTTGCTATTCTTTTTTAATAAAAAAAAACAAGAAATTTTATAATAATAAAATTTCGTCCAATTCTGACGAAAACGCAGTCGCAACTAGGTAGGTTTGATTTTAAAACCGAAAGCGATTACAAGGTAGATCGATCTTTACAAATTCAACATTTGTATCGACAACATATGTAACGTACACACATAATATAATATATGAAACCTTACCTTTGGTATTGCGCGTCGACCAGCGCAAAGAGCGCCACAGCCACCACGAAAAAGCGAAACATATTTTCGGATTTTCTGGCAAATTTCTTTCTGTACGTTGTGATACACAAAAAATAAATTGAACTGGACTACTAGAGCTCTCGTTTATCGACATGCGGCGGCTATATATACAATCGGGCGCATTCGAAACATCCGGGTTTCCATCGATCCATCAAATTTGATAAACATTTTGTTTAATATTTTTTCTTTAATTAGCACAAATTGTATTAAAATAAATTATTAAATGTGTGCGTGATTAATGAAGAAGAGATTAGCGTTTCGGAAAATAAATTATTATGCCAAATAGTCGTGCAACAATAAACTTAACAAATGACACTTTTCTTGCAAAAATTAGCATTCTAATTAACAGTAAGCTCATATCAGCTGTTTTCACAATAAAGTATTATGTTATTGGAAACTAAGACATAATTATGTACAAATTATTTCAAAAGTTCATATTAATAGCATGCGAATTTTGATTGGTAATTAAAAAAATTGATTTTTTTTTCTATCGAAAACTAAACAAATAATTATAAAATTAATGACAAAGTATATAATACGATGTGAAAAGAAAGACAAAAGAAACGACAAGAAAAGATTTTGTATATACTTTGATGAATGTTTGTTTCGACTTGAGATACGGCTGAGCAACGTACTTTTGAAATATTTTAATTATTCTACATTTTCGTTTTTATTTATTCAAGTAAAAATGGTACATTCACTTCCTTTTTGGTCATTTTTGTCTACATATGTATGTCTCTTATGTGTATGTATATATAAAGCTTTTAAAATTTTTATACATTTTATGTATTTATACTATATGAAATATAAAATATATAAATGTTATATACGTTTACTGCTATATATAAATATAAATGAAAAAAAAAATATATATATATGAAATTATTGTTATTTATTTTATACTTATTCGATTATCCTATATACTTATCCTTTATCTTAACAAATATACTATCGATATAATAATGTAGTAGTATTATTGATGACTATTATTAATATCTTTTATTTTATCGTTTAATAACAAAGAAGCAGCTTATATCAAAATATACAGTTTAGTGACAATATGTCTGCTTACGTTAAATAAAAATTATTTCGTTGTATGTGTAATTTTTGATTATAATTTATTTTTAACAAGAATGATATAATAATAAAAAAAGTTATTTAAGTGTAATTAGTGTAATTACACTTAAATAACTTTTTTTATTATTGTACTTAGTGTAATTACAATTGTATTCTAGGAGGATAAGGTATTATATTTGATGTAAACTTAATTATTTTAAAACTTAAAGAAGTCATGAAACTACATCGAATCATTAAAACTATAATTATATTAGTACAAATATATATCATAAATTACTTGTTGTTTAATGAATGTTTTTGTAGGTTTTCAAAAGAAATTAAAGATGTATGTGCGCAGTCTTCGAATACGTTTAAATATCTCGTAATCGTTAAGTTTATTATGAATAATTGTTGAACGTTATGTTATTTGTATAAGAATAATATTTAATATCAATTTCGAATCCAAGATTGTACAAAACTCATGTAATATACCTCCTAATGTCCATAACTGCACAGTACATTTTTATTATGTAAGATGTATATTTTAAAAAAGTGCTAGAGAAAGTTTTATTTCGCCAAAGCAAATTCCATTCGGTTATTCTCAAATTCAGTGTAGTAATGACCAATAAAAAATAATTTTTTTTTTAAATAATATAATTTTGTAATATTTGGAAGCGCGATAATATATAATGTTTTATCTTGTATGTTATACTCTATTGTAATAAAAGCGTTACTTTGTTATATAATAGACCAGGAAATTGACGTCAAAAATAGTTCTGAGCAAGTTTTCAAATGTTTTATTGAAGAGAACCTGATATTTGGATAAGTACAGAACAAATGTATGTAATGTACGATACAGAGAAATAATCTCATATATACATATGATCATCCATAAAATTGATAATAATTTATAAATGAAATATTTACTCAATAATTTGCAAATATTTTATCATTTTGATTTGTTTTCTGCGATTATATTGTATTACTTTTTAATGTAAGACACTTTCAATTAATTCATTGTATCTATGTAAAACTTTTATTTCTTTTATATATATGTATATATACATTATATATACTAAATATGTATCATATGTATAACGCTTTATTATATAATACTATTTACAAGTTTTCTTAGAACATGTTTAATTTACAAAAGTGAATTTTTTATCAATTAAAAGATGAAATAATTTCTGATTTATAAATATATTGGTTGTAAATTTTTTTAACATAATCTTTTTTTAAAGAGAGAGATGTAACGAAAATTTTACTTTACTGTTAATTGTATTTTATAATTAAATTTTACTTTACTGTTAATTGTATAATTGTATTTTAATTGATTGCGATACAATGTTCGAAATATGATTATTTCAAAATTTAGTGAAACAAGTATTGTGAAGTTTAAATAAAAATAATTTGAATAGATTTAGTGATTTTTAAGAGTACATACAATATGTGAAGATATATTGTAAATTATTTCGTTTATAATGAAAACTTGCAAGTTTTTAAAGAAAAGAAAAACCATATACATATAAATGGCAAAATTCAAATTTGAATAATGTTATATTGTTTTATCTGTTATACAATATTATTATCATATTAGAAACTGTTATATAATAATTATTATAAATTATTATTATTAACATCATTATTATGAATTAAAGCATAAAAGCTTAATAAATAAAATATTATTATATTGCGTAGATGAAAAGATTATTTTATTTTAACAGATTTATTTATATTTGGACATTCCAATAGATACATACATACATACATACATACATACATACATACATACATACATACATACATACAAACATACATTCATACATACATACATATATATATATATATATATATATATATATATCAAATTATTCATGGAAGGTATATACAGGGTGCTTCCGCAACATACAAATCGGGTTGCCTATCTGACGATCGGTCTTCTTTTACCGACCTCGCATAATTAAAAAATAATAAAATCAGAGAATCGATTATGTAATTTTTTTTCGTGAAAAGTGAAAAAATTCCTTGATTGATACCTTGAATGCAAATCCGTAGGGAATGAGGAAAGTGAAATCAGCTTTTAACATTGATATAGTGTAATTGTAATATTTAATAACATAAATAACATTATATTTAATAACATAAATAACTTAAATAACATTAATAACATAAAATGACACAATTGATATATAATAACACAGGTAAAATATAATGAATTTAAACAAAAAACTATTTTTTAATGTTCACAATATATGCTCAATGTAACCGCCATTCTCTTCTAAACATAAAGCAATCCTCCGCATAAAATTTTTCCTTACTCTCCGAATTATCGGAGAAGTGATTTCCGCACACGCCTTTCGAATTTTATTTTTAAGATCTTTATACATACAATGTTATTTATGTTATTAAATATTACAATTACACTATATCAATGTTAAAAGCTGATTTTACTTTCCTGATTCCTTACGGATTTGCATTCAATATATCAATCAAGGAATTTTTTCACTTTTCATGAAAAAAAATTACATGATCGATCCTCTGATTTTATTATTTTACAATTATGCGATGTCGGTAAAAGAAGACCGATCGTCAGATAGGCAACCCAACTTACCGATATGTATGTTACGGAAGCATCCTGTATGTTTTAATTTTTGAATGTATCACAAATATCCTTTTTAACAGAGAGTACACCGCAGGAATATAATTAAAAATTATCAAATAAGCAATCAAAAGTAATTTTAATTATTTGCGAGGTCGTTTATATATATATATATATATATATATATATATATATATATATATATATAGCAATTAGTCGTTTTCAAAGCGATCGGCTTTTATTTCGAATGAGCGAATCCCACTCGGTTATTTCCCATATCATACTCGCTGTAGTATTTACGCAAAAATACATCGCCAAGAATCCATGCCGGACCTAACGCCTGAGATGAATCAGATCCGCTTGATTGAAAGCCGCTGAAACATAACTGCTGGCCATATTCTTCTTCCTGTAAAAAGTACACACAATGTGAACATCTTGTATTCTCATATAATTTAAATGGAAATTACCAATCCATAATACTCACTCGAAGAATATAATCGTTAGGGGAAAGAGGGTGTGACACACCACTCAGAATGAAACTAAATATAGGCAATTGATCAACAATAGCACAATTCACCTTCGAACAAAAGATAATATTGAATTATTAGTTAATAATTTAACAAATATATACATATATATTGTATGTATATATATATATATATATATATATATATATATATATATATACAGGGTGGACCATTTTAATCTATAATGGAAAATATCTCGGAATGTTGGTGAGATACAACAAAATGTTTCAGACAAAAGTTGTATGGTTTCTAGGGGGACATAAGATGGTACCATTGGTTTGACCTTGAAGAGTTATTTGAAGGTCACATGAAGGTCACCTTCAATTTCTTAAATGAAACCTACATTTTCTCATTACATATTCTTGTAGCTTATCTCGAGAGCTTTCCAAAACACTATAATAAAATATTTTTTTATTGAGTACTTTTCGAGTTATGAGGCTTGAAATTATTTCTTAATTTAACATAAACCGTAATATATCTAGTAAAATATTCATTTTTCGATTATCTTGCTTTAATACTTTTATGTACAAAATAATGAGAGGAATCAATTGGTGTAAAGAAAACACATAGTTGTTTCAAAGAAAAAATATGTAATTGTTAATTGCAAATTACATATTTTTTCTTTGAAACAACTATGTGTTTTCTTTACACCAATTGATTCCTCTCATTATTTTGTACATAAAAGTATTAAAGCAAGATAATCGAAAAATGAATATTTAACTAGATATATTACGGTTTATGTTAAATTAAGAAATGATTTCAAGCCTCATAACTCGAAAAGTACTCAATAAAAAAATATTTTATTATAGTGTTTTGGAAAGCTCTCGAGATAAGCTACAAGAATATATAATGAGAAAATGTAGGTTCCATTTAAGAAATTGAAGGTGACCTTCATGTGACCTTCAAATAACTCTTCAAGACCAATGGTACCATCTTATGTTCCCCTAGAAACCATACAACTTTTGTCTGAAACATTTTGTTGTATCTCACCAACATTCCGAGATATTTTCCATTATATATTAAAATGGTCCACCCTGTATATATATATATATATGTAACAATTTGTTCAGTGTTTTATTTTATGACTTTTTTACTGGAAGGCTATACCAATGTGAAAAATTGTTACTTACAAGTCCATTCTCGTCAGCTGCAATTAATTCGTTAATAAAGGCAATGTAATTATCTGGTCCAACTAATAATGAAGTACCTGTGTCAGCAATAGCTTGTTGGGTGTTATCAGTTATGTTGTAATCACCTATCGAGACACTAGAACACAATAACGTTATAATAATTTGTTGCAACTTGATCAATCGTAATTTAGAAAATATACCTATCCATAGTAAATTGCCAGTATCCTTTCTGAGTAACAGGAACGTATGTGAAGTTACCCTCATAATGATTGGGATCAGAACCACCCAATATCAGTTCACTTTTCTCGGCTGAAGAGTCTCTATATATTTTGTATATTTTGTAAATTATAAAATATATTTTATTTAAACATTTTTACACATGCGCTGTGCGTATGGAAAGAAGATACAAACCGACTCAGATAGAAACTAAAAATAGGGTGTTCTACTAAGTGTTGTTTAACCATGTTTACGAAGACGGGCGTCACTTCATCCTCGGATATCTCGGGATAACCCATGCCCAAGATACCGTCAAACTCTGAATAAACAAACGTTTCACCTGGCTGCTCGACGGCTTCTGCGAATCCTTGATCTTTAACAGGGAGGCCGGCAACCTATAATTAATAAATCGTGACGTTCAAATGTAAAAAAAATACTTGAGAAATGTTTATAAACTATGATTGTAGTTATAACTTGAATTGTTTCATGATGACTTACAGTCACTACATCAGAAGATAGGAATCCAGTTAAACTGCCAGTGCCATACTGGATAGAAAATGGAGTATTAATTGGTTTATATGTACTGGATTTGCTACTGTAATATTTATGATGGTACACTGCAAGAAATAATGTTCCAAGATAAGGATAGTTTTAAAGATAAAGAGATTTTCTTATTCATCTAAATGTTCGTTTGAATTATCCAACATAAATGCATTTATTCGCTTTTGAGTTTCGTTTGTATGATATTCGTTGAAAGAATAAAAATAATAAATTGTTTAAATAAGTCTGTTTATGTGCAAATTATATAGTTTGGTTTTATTGTATTTATACAATCAATTATTTTAATTTTTAAAATTGTATTTGTGCATTTCCTTTATCCAAAAGATTATATTTGAAAAATATAATCGAGGAAGAGATAAAGAATTTTATAATATTTATAATATTATAACTGTTCATTTTTTGATTTGATATTATAATATATTCGAAAAGATTAAGATCTTCTTCAATATTTTTAAAGAGTAATTTATATTATTAAATATAAGTGAATGTGTAAATAATGAAATATCTAATAAATATTATCTAATGAATATAAATATTAACATATTCATATACTGAATCTTAATTAATTTGCATTCATTACGTACATAATGATATTTCTTGATGAAAAATGTCGAAAAACTTATAATCATTTTTCTTCTTAAAGTAAAAAAGAAAATATAAAATAGAATTGTTCTTATTCATATTTTGTAAAATAAATATATATTCGTGATCTGCGCATTTCAATCAATATTGTTATGTATGTTTATATAAGTGCAACTTAATTATTATCCTGTTTATATATATTCTAATACTTACAGCAAGCCTCATCGTCACTTGCACATTTTGCCGATGGTACCCAAAGATTTGAGGAACCAGTATCAAATAAAACTGAAAACGACTGCGGAGGAGTTCCGATGGTAATGTTACCATAATATTGAGCATCATAATAATTAGACAAAGGTTCTGATACGTCAAAATGAGTTTTTTTCAAGTCAATACCAGCTTTCTTCAAATTTTTTCGAATAGAACTCATCTTGTGCAACGTAATCCTTCAAGTAATACAAAGATCATTTTTTTGTTATATACATATTAAAATGATATATATGCATTATATATATATATATATATATATATATATATATATATATAATGTATAGTTTACTGAATAATAAGAATAGACATATAAAGAATAGACATTTTAAATAAATATAAATTAAATGACTATGTTCAATTGTTAAAAATCTAAATTATTATACAAACTTTAATTATATTGATATATTTTTTTAAATTGTAAGATTTATACATTACATATACAGGGTGGCCCATTTTAATTTCCCCAGCCAAATATTTCGGAAAATAATGAAAAATCAAAAAAATGTTTCAAACAAAAGTTGTATGGTTTCTAGGGGGACATAAGATGGTACCATTGGTTTGACCTTGAAGAGTTATTTGAAGGTCACCTTCAATTTCTTAAATGGAACCTACATTTTCTCATTACATATTCTTGTAGCTTATCTCGAGAGCTTTCCAAAACACTATAATAAAATATTTTTTATTGAGTACTTTTCGAGTTATGAGGCTTGAAATCATTTCTTAATTTAACATAAACCGTAATATATATAGTAAAATATTCATTTTTCGATTATCTTGTTTTAATACTTTTATGTACAAAATAATGAGAGGAATCAATTGGTGTAAAGAAAACACATAGTTGTTTCAAAGAAAAAATATGTAATTGTTAATTGCAAATTACATATTTTTTCTTTGAAACAACTATGTGTTTTCTTTACACCAATTGATTCCTCTCATTATTTTGTACATAAAAGTATTAAGGCAAGATAATCGAAAAATGAATATTTTACTATATATATTACGTTTTATGTTAAATTAAGAAATGATTTCAAGCCTCATAACTCGAAAAGTACTCAATAAAAAATATTTTATTATAGTGTTTTGGAAAGCTCTCGAGATAAGCTACAAGAATATGTAATGAGAAAATGTAGGTTCCATTTAAGAAATTGAAGGTGACCTTCATGTGACCTTCAAATAACTCTTCAAGGTCAAACCAATGATACCATCTTATGTCCCCCTAGAAGCCATACAACTTTTGTCTGAAACATTTTTTTGATTTTTCATTATTTTCCGAAATATTTGGCTGGGGAAATTAAAATGGGCCACCCTGTATATTTGAATTATTATTTAATTTATAGTTTAATCTCCTAAATTAAGCATTATAATTTAACAATTTCTGATTTTTAATTAAAAATAATATTGTAATGTGTAGCGTGCAATCTTATAAAGAAACTCAAAATAAGACTTATTTATGTTAGAAATATATAGATATATATAGAAGGAGCATAAGTAAAGTAAATGAATAAGAAAAAATAGTTCAATAATATATACAGTACACTTGCTTATACAATCAGGTTATCATTAGAACAATAAAGATATCGCGATAAAGCAGACAAAAGCATGAGCAATTTACAAAGAGTGATTTTTTTTTCAAAAATGCTTACTTTTGCTATTCTTTTTTAATAAAAAGAAACAAGAAATTTTATAATAAAATTTCGTCCAATTCTGACGAAAACATAATTGCATTTAGGTAGGTTTTCGATTTCATAAAATCGAATGCAATTACAAGGTAGATCGAACTTTATATATTCAACATTTGTATCGATATGTATATACATAATGTAACATATGAACTTACCTTTGGTATTGCGCGTCGACCAGCGCAAAGAGCGCCACAGCCACCACGAAAAAGCGAAACATATTTTCGGATTTTCTGGCAAATTTCTTTCTGTACGTTGTGATTCGATACACAAAAAATAAGTTGAACTCGACTACTAGAGCTCTTATTTATCGACTTGCAATACGGCGGTTATATATACGATCGCGCGCATTCAAAACATCCGGGTTTCCATCTATCAATGAAATTTGATAAACATTTTGTTTAATATTTTATCTTTAATTAGCACTAATTGTATTAAAATAAATTATTAAATGTATACGTGATTAATGAGGAAGAGATTAGCGTTTCGGAAAATAAATTATTATGCCAAATAGTCATGCAAAAATGAACTTAACAAATGACACTTTGCTTGCAAAAATTAGCATTCTAATTAACAGTAAGCTCATATCAGCTGTTTTCACAATAAAGTATTACGCTGTTGGAAACTAATTATGTACAAATTATTTCAAAAGTTTATATTAATAACATGCGAATGGTTGGTAATTAAAAAAGATTGAATTTTTTTATCGAATACTAAACAAATAATTAAAAAATTGATGACAAAGTATATAATACGATGTGAAAAGAAAAATAAGAAAAGATTTTGTATATACTTTGATGAATGTTTGTTTCGACCTGAGATACGACTGAGCGATGTACTTTTGAAATATTTTAATTACTCTACATTTTCGTTTTTATTTATTCAAGTAAAAATTGTACACTCACTTCCTTTTTGGTCATTTTTTTCTATATATTCGTATGTTTCTTATGTATATGTATATATAAAACTTTTATAATTTTTATACATTTTATGTATTTATACTTATATATGAAATATAAAATATATAAATATCTTAATGTCGCTAGTCAAATAATCATAGGATCATTGAAAAAAGTGTAGTCGACCAAATTAGCCAGAAAATTTGTTTATTAATACAATGTTTTGACCATATGGCTGTGGTCCTTGTCAAGTATATACGATGTAATAAAAATCAGGAGACAGGCATAGACGATAATCTTGTAAATTGCACAAATCACATTAACAAAAAACGTTATTTAACTAGATTTCAATTTGAGAAAAATTGATGCGTCCGTGAGAGACTTCGTCAAGAAACTGACGGAATCTCTCACGAACGCATCAATTTCTCTCAGATTCTCTTGTTTCTTGACGAAGTCTCTCACGGACGCATCAATTTCTCTCAAATTCAAATCTAGTTAAATAACGTTTTTTAAAACTTAATTATTTTAAAATTTAAAGAAGTCATGAAACTACATCGAATCATTAAAACTATAATTATATTAGTAAAAATATATATCATAAATTACTTGTTGTTTAATGAATGTTTTTGTAGGTTTTCAAAAGAAATTAAAGATGTGTGCGCAGACTTCGAATACGGTTAAGTGTCTCGTAATCGTTAAGTTTCTTATGAATAATTATTGAACGTTATGTTATTTGTATAAAAATAATATTTAATATCAATTTCGAATCCAAGATTGTACAAAACTCATGAATTATACCACCTAATGTCCGTAACTGCATTATGTACAGTTTTATTATGTAAGATGTATATTTTAAAAAAGTGCTAGAGAAAGTTTTATTTCGCCAAAGCAAATTCCATTCGATTATTCTCAAATTCAGTGTAGTAATGACCAATAAAAAATAATTTTTTTTTTTAATAATATAATTTTATAATATTTGGAAGCGCGATAATATATAACGTTTTATCTTGTATGTTATACTCTATTGTAATAAAAGCGTTACTTTGTTATATAATAGACCAGGAAATTGACGTCGAAAATAGTTCTGAGCAAGTTCAAATGTTTTATTGAAGAAAACCTGATATTCAGTCAGATAATTACAGAACAAATATATGTAATGTACGATACAAAGAAGTAATCTCATATATACATATGAGTAGTTAGTACTAGGCGGGTTCTAACTCAGGTCCTCTCAGGGGAGGTGAGGTGCGAGGGGATCTCAGCGGAGCGGGGTATGACGTCACGCGGGGATTGCGGGGTGGGGGATGCACGTGTTGGATGTTTTATGACATGCATAAACAAAAAAAGGGCGATATTCTTTTGAAGATGATTTTGGGCCTAACCAAAAAAATCATTTTTTATCATCTTATTTTATTTTATTTTATCATCTTATTTTATTTTATTTTATCATCTTATTTTATTTTATTTTATTTTTTATTTTATTTTTTAAGGAAAAATTTTAACAGCGCCAATGTTCGACTGCTTTGTCTCCCCCCGCTCCCCCCGTTTACATATCAGCGCCGATCTTCGGCTGCTTTGTACTCTCGAGGTACACCCCCTAATATAGATAATTCCAGGTTTTTTTTCCCGTTCGACGTATAAACAATAGAGATTAAGCGGACAAGCTTTCAGAGATTGTCGGGGGGACAAAAAAATTTTTTTTTGCAAATGGGATATTGTAAAAAAACCTTTTATACCCTTATATATATTTTTAATAACTTTATTTCATAAACTTATATTTTTGAGATATTTCGGTCCAGCCTTTGTCCCCCGTTTACATATCAGCCCCCGATGTTCGACTGCTTTGTATCCTTGTATCCTTGTCGCGTGTGTGAGAGAGAACGATACTTATAATAATAAGACTTATAATGCGAGAGCGCACGAAGGATTGGAGCGTAAGGGAAAGACATGTAAATAATTGCATTTTTTTGTTATAATTAAAAATATATAATATAATTTATTCAAATGTGTGAGTTTAATAAAAAAGTATACAATATAAAGAATTGATAAAGAAATTAAATTTTTGTACATAAATTTTCGTACGTAAATTTTCAAACATAAATTGTTCGCGAAAAAATTTTTTTTAAGACATGTACAAGGCATTTATATATATTTTACTTCCTCCTCCTCCTCCTTATATATATTTCGTCCAATTCTTTCTCATCTTTTGAATGTGGGAAGGTACAACGCAGAAAAAGCATGAACATCCAAATAAAAATATCCAATATGATGGTCGCAGGGGACTGCTCCTGAAACAAAAGAAAATATATACATTTCATTAGTTTAAATTATTTAATAATTTATTTTAAGATACTTTTGATATAATAAATTAAAAGATACTTACAATGTTATCCATGACTTATCTATTTTAATGTTTGCAAACAGGGCACATGTCGCATGGCATTACTTGATGTAAAGATTTCCTGTACTCTCTGCATGACATAGCCTCTATATTGCAATAAGTTGTGGTTCTATGTTCTCTAACAGATTTAGCCTCTACAAATAAAAACGCTCGTTGGATGAAGCATTCGGTGCAATATTTCGAATTTTCTCCATTTTCTTCATAATACCACGATATGCAACATATTTTTAGCGTTTCATTCAACGTTAATATTTCAGGTAGTTCTAGGTGTCGTTGTTTTCTTTCCCACAATTCATCACCATCCTCACTGTCATCACTATTATAGTCACTATCCGTCAACGGTTCTATTACAACAAGTAACATTTCATCATCAAGCCCATCCTCGTCTGCTAATTCGTGATCACCAATATTCATCTCTCTCTCCTCTCTCTCTATCTCCATCCTCTCAGCCACAATCAGATCCATATCGTAATCATCATCATCATCGATAATAATTACTTCAGCCATTGCACAAGATTACACACAGAAGAGCAACGAAAGAAAAACACAGAAGAGCAACGAAAGAAAATCACAGAAGAGCAACGAAAGAAAAAATGATACTCTAGCGCAGCTCCTTTTCCTTTTATATATTTTTTAACATAAAACAATATATAGCTGTATTCCTTGGAAGAGGATTGCATCTTAGGGCACAACCTTTTTTCTTTTCTTTTTTTTTTTCTTTTTTCTATCGATGTTCATGCTCTTTCTGCGTTGTACCTTCCCACATTCAAAAGATGAGAAAGGATTGGATGAAATATATATAAGGAGAAGGAGGAGGATTGAAACATGTCAAATCATAGTACGGAGGCGCGGGGGATGTTTGGGGACGTGTTGGATGTTTTATGACTAGCATAAACAAAAAAGAGCGGTATTTGAAGAAGATTGTATGTTAGGGCCGGCCCAAAATTATTTTCCATATTTTTTCTTGGAAGAATTGCAACGTATCAGCGCCGATGTTTGGCTGTTTTGTGCTCTTACCACGTGTGTGAGAGAGAACGAATTTTTTCTGAGATGTAAATAAAAAATTATTATTACGATACTTATTTATTTTACGCAAAGATAAAAAGATTTAGACGAAATACAGGGATGATTGAAGCGCATCAAGTTACTGTGATTTGAGCGCATCGACACGCCGGTTGTAGAAGAGTATAGTGGTGTCCTGTTAGAAAGATATTTGCGCGATTTCACGTTCAAGCGAACGATATTATTTATCGTGTGCAAAAAGTGCAAATACTCCGTAGAAAAGTGTGACGTAGTGTAAAAAAGATAAGAAGAAAATGGAAAACATCGAGCGGACTGAACGCGATCTGATGGAGCGATCTCACCAAATTACCACCTTGGGCGAGTATTTTGCATGGCTGCAGCGTTGCGAGGAAATAATCAAAGAGCTCGAAGAACGCAGTCGTGTCAAGCGTCCGCGACTCTTGATCGGATGTAGACAATCCCTGGTAACCAAAATCGCGCGACTCGAAAGTGCAAAAATTCGATTGCAGAGGCGATTTATTCCCAGTGGTGGCGATTACAGCGATGACAATAATGCGGAAAGACTCGTTTGGCGAGAGATCGATACCGCATTTGATAACCGAATTTTGACCGGTGCTGTAATTAATACAAACCATATCGAACCTCATCAATTTCTCGAGGATGCCGAAGACATTGTGATAGAACATGTGCAGGATGCTCTAAGAAAACACAACACTGTAAAAGTGAACACTGTGTTTAATGGTGAATTTGTGGCCGGAGATAAACGCGCCAATAAAAGTGTGAATACGAGAAACTGTGAACTCTTTCGCACATCGGATTTACGCGAGTGGTACGAACGGCGCGTTATCGAGTCCATCCTAGCATCTCTGGAAGAGTTTCAGGAACGCGACAGCGGGTGGGCTTTGTCGCGAATACAGAATTTAAATGTAAATATAAACAAGTATAATCCTTTGTGTGCGGGATGTCACATCAAGTTACCGCGAGAGATTGCGACGAAGAGAGCG